TTCGGCCCCAAGAAGGAATTGCTTCTTTCCCCTTTTTTCTCGGCACCGATCCCTACTGAAGGAGGACAAGAAGTCGAGCCCACGGGAAGCCAGCCGGATGGGAAGGCTAGAAGGAGAAATTTAGCCAGTCCTTCCCTGGAAGTGGTATTTGTGATCAGGGGGCGAGGGGGGTGTAGTTAGCTTGTAACTCTGACTACAGGCGAGGGGGCTGGAGAGAATCGTCCGGGAAGGTAGGAAGCCTCGTTGGGAAGATCGAGTCGTAAATGCCCGGCGTGGGGCAGTAGGTTGGACGGTGGGGGAGCCAGAGGAAAGAACGGGGGGATGAATTTGGTCCGAAGAGGGGCAGAGTTGCCTTGCTGGACGAACAGGGGATGAGGATCGGGTCAGATTTAAGCCGCCGTAGCAGCAGCAGCAGAATCGATTGTATTACATGCAAACGCAGTTCGTGCTCGCTGCTCTTGAACCGCTCTTTGCCGACAGCTTCTCGCCACGCTTGGGGGGGGGGACGGGGGCGGCTCCCTCCTCCTCGGGAAGGTGAGAAAGGAGGAAGATGGATCCTCAGAGCCGGGGGTATCCCCCTCGGCAGGCCGGACCCCAGCGGAGACGAAACAGGGAGGGGACGAGGAGGCCACCGGGGCCACTTAGGGCCCCTCGGAGGGGTTCGGCTTCATGGGCCCAGGCGAGCTGACGTCTCTCCCCGTGGCCCAGAAGGGCCTGCCTCCGCCTCCTCCACCGGGCGACCCCGTCCCTCCCTGCTTCTCTCCTTCCTCCCCTCGCGAAGCCGCCGGGGACGAAGGGAGCTGGAGCCGCCTTCGCCTGCGCAGGTGGCAGTAGTAGTAGTAGCAGCAGCAGCGCGGAGCCCGTTGCCAGGGTAACGAGTCGCTACAGCGGCCTCGGTGGGGCAAAAAGAGCAGCCCGAATGTACGAATATCGGAACGCGGATGGGAGGAGGGGACTTTGATTACTGCTCAGGCTCCTGGTGAGGGGGAGTCAGACCCGCCCCCCTCCGAAGACAGTTATTCCCGAGCTTGGGTGGCTTTGCTGGTCAACGGTTCGTTCCCATTTAAACCTCTTCGACAGAAACTTGCCTCCTGAGGCAACCTGCTCGCTCTCTTTGTCATTGAACCCTGGCTTGTTGCAGAGGATTCTGGGATTTTACAGCGTGGGCTTGGAACGGGGCTGGGAGAGTCGGGTTCAAGCCAGAAGACGTCTGCGCGCTGTGACCTTGGGTCAAGCCACCATCTGCTGCCTCTCTCCTACAGTTTTCGCACCGTCAGCAATCATCCACACTGCAGTCAGCCAGCAAACAAGAGGAGATCGGTGCTCATGACTCTAAATTAATTGAGGGAGCAAAATTCTATAAGGGACGGCTCCTCCTGACAGATCTGTCTTAGATTAATGGAACCAGAGACCTATATGAGTACTGTATATGAGAATAAAATCCAGTCCCCTGCCTATGCAGAAAAGCGGTAACAAAAGTATCCTTGACAAATGGCCATCCAAGGTATGTTTTGAAACCTCAAATAAAGGTCCACCATTTGCTAAGGTACACTTCTCCTTTCTACAATGCTGGGGTTAGAAGCACTGAAACACACACCCCCGTATTTCAAAATCCTTTCCAAACAGTACCTTGTGAGGTGAGCCTTAAAAGTTCTTATGTCCCTCTGATCTAGAAACTGAATTAGAGCTGTTGTGTTTGGGGGGGGTGGATTTAGACCACTTTGATGCCTTCAGTGTTGAACTCATGGGGTTCTGGACAGCTAGGACCACAGTATTCATTCATTCATTCATTCATTCATTCATTCATTCATTCATTCATTCATTCATTCATTCATTCGAATATTTAGGTTTTGAAACCTCCAGTAAAGATCTGCCATTCAGCCACACTGGGGTTATGACCACTTGACCCCCATGTAATTCAGACTCCATATACTGTACCGTATAACTTTTATGCCCCCCAAAACATAACTACAAAGCATAAACAGTTGATAACACATACAGAAAAGATGGGTTTACTGCATTAGCTGTTCAGCATGCCCCGGTACCCTCCCCAGCCACCACATGGAACCATCATGCCAGGACAGGGGGCTGGCAGGGCCTCTCCCATCAAACTGCCCCCCCGCACCACCAAAAATAGGAGCCTTAGTAAGGCCAAAACCAACCTTTATCAGGCCATTTCCTGGAGATGAATGGCAGCACACTGTTTACTGAATCTTTTTGTATTTAATATTTGTTTATTGAAAAAATGTATAACCAAAATTGTGCTGCTCAGATCCACGAAGTTAAAGGGAGACACACAGTTCCTTCTACTACTCCTAAGCTCTCACCCTCACAATAAGTTTCCTAATGTTTAGTCAAAATCTGTTTTCTTGTAATTTGAATCTGTTTCTTTGGGTCCTGCTCTGTGGAGCTGCAGAAAATGCTTCAAGTTAGAGGCCTTTCTATATAAGAGAATCTTATATATACAGCCTGTCTTCAGATGGCAATGTTCTTAGAAAACCTACTATAATATTATGATTTTTTGTTGTTGTTATTCTTCCTACTACTGTTACTCTTCTGACTTTTATACTATTATCTTTCAAACTTATTAATTTTGTTTTTCCATCCTAGAATATACAATAGCCCTGAGTCATATGTCCTCAAAATATCTGTGGCTGAAAGCAGGATCCAATAAGGGTAGTGTTGGAGTGGAATTTCTTGCATTTTGGTCAAGGATCTTGAAAGTCCATACCTCTTCTTACAGGGTGTGTGTGGTTTTCCAGATAACGGTTGAAGTGCAGTTTCCATCAGCCCTAGCCAACATAGCCAATGGTGAAAGATCATAGGGGTCAATGGTCTAATATCTTGAGTGCCATATATTCTGTAATCCTGACTTAGTGAACTGTGCTTCAGCATTCTCTGTGGTATTGCATATTGTTAGTATTGGGGCTGGCTCTAGAATTCAAGTATCCTGTAGGCAAGACATCCTTGCCCTCCATCAGTGTATGACATTTGATTCACCATTACCCATTTCCCTTCAACAACACTGGGGATAGGGATGTCAGACCCCAATGTAGTTCAAAATCTGTGTATAGCTGTTATGCCCCCCCAAAAAAACAACAACTACAAAGCATAAACTGTTGATTAACACACATACACACAGATATACAGAACAGTTCTATCAGGGTTTTCTCCCATAACATTAAAAGTACTTATGACCCTCTGGTCTAGAGGCCAAATTAGAGATGTTGTGTTTGGGGGACCATAGACCACTTTGATGCCTTCAGTGCTAAACCCATGGGGTTCTGGGTGGCCAGGGACACTTCCTTTTTCTTTATTTTTTAAAACCCACGTGTAACCCAAGCTGTGCTGTTCCGACTTGTGCAGTTCGACAAAGAAGTGTATTTATTTGCTAGTCCAAAAAACCAGTGCCTGAACAACCAGTCTCTCTTCTTCTTGACTATTTCTGCTGCCAGCTTCCTCAAGAACTATCACCAGCAACAGCAATAGTCATAGCCATGCTTGGGCAGCTGAACCTCTGCAACCCTTCAGGGGCACCTAGTGTCCACATTGGCCAGAATCCTATTGTTGTCCTATTGTCATCCGATTGTCAGCATGAGGTTGCTGCGGCTAATTGCAGATAATTGATGAGATGCCAAGGTATATCTAAGTCACATTCACCAACTGCACAACTGAGATGTGCCCCTTTACCTCATCAACTAATGCATTTAGTAATGGCAAGTTATATAGATATTTGGAGAACACCAGTAGTATTTTGTTGACCAATTAACATTGCATTGCTGTGATGAGAAGGGAGAAATCCATAACTGATAACAATACTGTATATAACTGTCCATTTTTTATTTTCCATAGGACCATTTGCACTCATCAAATGTCTACTGTGCTTGTTAGATCAGTGTAAGGAGTGTAGCTTTAGACAGTTTCACAACTGATTTGAAAAGTCAGGTTATCTTTTCATCATGAAAGCCTTTTTATTCTTTCATTACAAAAGCACCAGATATTGATATAGATATGCATGAGAACACAAGGGAACAAGTGTATTAACAGAATATAGTATAGATATGCATGAGAACACAAGGGAACAAGTATATTAAAAGAATACCAACAAAAAGATTCCATAACTGGAGTAGCTCACAACACACCCTTAAAAGTACCTCAGATCTCTCATTTGGGGCAGTGAACTCAGTTTGAATCTTCACCTCATGTTATGGGCATCTATGCTCATAGAAGGCTAGTTAGTGCCTGGGAAGAAACAGAACTGGTTGGCTGTCCCATTTTTCACAGTCTCATGTCCTTATGCAATTATGAGGAAATACATAATTTCTCCTGCTTTGTATGTTACCCAGAAAAACAAAACAAAAAGCAGATACATGTGTGTGATCATTTTTCTAAACCTACCTGAATACTGTATGTGAAGCCTACAGTATTTGAGAGAGATTGTAGGTTGATCCTCAGTGTGGCATTTAAAACCTCATTATATCTTAATGCATCTCTGTTTAACGTCTCTGGAAGCTACTTCCTGAAGTGACAGTTTCATGTATGCCATGTTAAGATTTGGCCCTGAGTTAACTGCCTCTTTATTAGGCATTTAAATATTCAAATGCAATAACGGCCAGAATTCAACTGGCAATTTAGATGTGTGAGAGTAAAACCACATAAGTCACAACAGCGGATTACTGCTAATTAATGAGATGCCAGTCATGTTCCTGGTTGTGTGCCCAGCCTGCTACATGAATTTTCCTTCCAAAACTCTGCATTGTTATAGGGGGAAGGGCGGATGCGACATACTTCCAGGGAGCATTCTGCAAAGATTTTTTAAGGCCAAACACTGAAAGTCCTCCTTTACGTTTAAGAATGGAACAGGCAGGCAAACTAACTCATATTAAACGTAATGAGAGTAGCTTAACTCCTTTTGCTGTGTAACCTATGTTGTAAAACTACTTTATAGTTGTTGAGGTGTGGAG